AATATTCACTAATGCTCAGACCATTCAGAGTATAGGCCCCCCACCCCACCACCACAAATGGCAAATACAAGTCTGTCTGTGTATATATACCTTTTATATGTCCTGTATATATATATGTCCTTTTCGTTCATAGTATAGTTTATAGGAAAATATACTATTTACTACAGTACCAACTAACACCAAACGTTATCCATATACAGGCCCCCCTCCTCCCCCCCCCGCCCTCCACATGTATAAGCTGATCAAAAAATTGCATATGGCAGACTTCATATTCAGTGGACTGACCAACATATCTAAGAAGATATATACACATTTTTACAAGCAGTCAAGAATTCAAACCTCAGCCAAAACACAGAAATGCAACATACATTTAGTCGATTTATTAAAACCCTAACATATTTTACAAGAAATTGATGCCACATTTTATACAGCCAAACATGAAATGCTACTGCTCAGGATATTTAAATTACTAACTTGATAATATTAAATTTACATTTTCAAGGACATTTATTAAGTAACATTAGACGTTTGGCTAGACATGTGTGCAGAAAAGTTACCAAAATAAAAAGTTAATTATATTACAACAGTGGTTATTATAGAAGTCATTTCTTGCCGGCTTTTGGTTTATTATTTTGCCCCCTTGGTGGTGTCACAGGCCTGCCTGTGTTTAAACCTCCATAAGGAAACTTCCTCTTGTCAGCTGGCTTGAGAATCTACAGAGAAAAAATAACATTCGAGTGTTAGGTAGTGAAGTCAACAAGGGCTGTAAGTGTAAGCAGAATTTTTAATCAGGGGGCAGTACTACATATCAATACTGAGTAAGCACCCAAATTGTAATGTATTCAAATTAATCATACTGGTCAGATGTAGTTAGATCCACACAGAATTATACATTCTGAATCACAAGATAATAAGTGCCACAGTTGCTCCCGCTGAATAGGGCCCTGTGGTTGAACCTCTTACACAGACCTTTTCGAAGGCCCTGGAGGTTTCACAATTCAGCCTTTACATGGCTTAGAACAGCTCAAAATTGCTTTGAAAAAACTTTTGATGCGTTTTTTGGGCTGTTTATCCGCCGAAAAAAGCTCTAATTGTTACAAATATACTACAGTACCTGGAAAGAACACATTAATGTTTCATCCACGCTCATCATTGCTCCAGCATTATCAAATTCTCCACAATAATTAGGTGCCGAGAATAACGTGACTAATTGTCTTTTGGCAAAGAACTCATAACCATCTTCTACTACCTGAAATATTTTCAAAAAAGACTTCAGCAAGTAAGCTCATGAATGTTTATTTAGACAGAGTTGGTTAACAAAGTAATTGTTTCCACAGAGACCATTGCCAACCATTCTCCTAACACATTGACATGCAAAACCCTCTGACATCAGAGTGATCAGACACAGTTGGGTAATATAGTACAACATTTACAGTACCTAAACAGGTACAGCTGCAAAAAGTACAACTATATGTCCTCTGACCTTAACATGACAGTACCCTAGTATTTATACATGAACTTGCAATTAGAGCCTGCCAACTGAATTCTGTAGCTCTGTCAGTGCGCTACATCAGAATCCTGTAGGGCCTCAGGTTCAATAACTTCAATTCCTGCCAGAGAACAAACAGTTTACACTCGCAAGTGATGAACCAGCTGGGCATTAATCTTTATATTAGTTTCCACGAGTTCAATAGTTTCCATCTACAAAACCCATCAACTATTACTCAATTGAGCAAGATGCAAAAAAATATGGATAATCTAGTAGCCTATCCACATTTTCAATACCTACTGTACAGAATTTAAGAAAACCTATGTCCACACCTGATGAGCTCGGCAGATGAGATCCAAGTCGTGCTTTTGCAAGAATTTTGAGACAATATCAGGTCCAAATGTGAAAGAAACACCACGATCATTTTCACCCCAGCCAGTAACTTCTTTATCAGGATCTGACCACAGCAAGTCACAGAGCAAGCCTGGAGAAATGAAAGTTCACAAACATTGCAGCAGGAAGGAGAATTATTAACAAAATCCACTTCTCACACACTGCTGGGAGCTGCTACAGCCATCCCCCGCAAGCTTGACTTTTATTTACACAATAACAGCTAACACACAGCTCTGCCATGTAATTACGTTATTTAAATAAAAATTATTGTTTAGTTATATATATAAATGTCCACTGCGCATAACAAGCTAAATGGCTACAATTAACAGGTGGGCAGGTGTGGATTTTTGTCAAGCGCTGGCTTAACCTGCACCACTCGAATACACCCGATTCACAATCGGGCTCCCAGCCTTGTGTGAGAAAACATTTTCTGCTTCTTTCGTACCTCAGCCAGCAGAAAATAACTTATTAACAAGCAGTTATTGCCAGCAGAGCATTTCTTACATATTAAGTATGTATATTTTTAGCTCAAGCTACGATATTGTTGGGCAGTCAATTCAAACCACAAATTAAAAATTGATTATTTATTATTGCAACACTGACTTAAATGAAGATACTTGTAGTTTCAGAACTTGCATTTCCTAGGTTTACTCAAATTAAGCAATTTAACCCTTCATATTCTTTATTTTTTCACTTTAATCCAGGCAATTTTACTCATCAAGGCGAGAGTTAAATATATGGGTTAAATATAGTATGTGTTAATATGATGATGATGAAAAATACACTAGGTATGGATTTGCCCAAAATATTTATGAAATTTTCCAGCTGTTTTGAGCATCAGATCTTATTGTTGTAAAACCCACAATCTTTTTTAACTTCAAAATAAGTTTATCACCCTGTTTTCAAAGTGGAACAAAAACCACTGATAGGCAAAACTCACTATGGTGAAAACACAAGTTAGGCCTAACAAAAAAAACCATCTTGTTTGTTATCCTGAAAAAATAGGGAATGTAGGTCGGAAAACACTCTTCCCTAAAATTTTCTTCTTAAATTTTTTGGCATGCTATTTCAAGCAATGTTTTCAACTGACATATTGTTGTAGATGTACAGTACATGAACTACAAAGGTATACACTTGCCTCAACTTTAAAAACTGGTTGATTACTTTACAAATCTTAAAATATCCTGACCTTGGCTAGTGACAATTAATAAGTAATACATTATTTAATTTGAAAGATACTTATAGTTATGAAAAGTTTTCTACAGTACAGTTGACATGCTCCACGATGTAGTCTGAGCATAGATCATATTGTTTTTAATATTTCTACTCCATGATTACAGGAAATGATTTGGAACTATTGTTTGACCATATATGGTCACATAGATATTTAATTAATTAAATTTACTTCCCAGTTTTGAAAACAAAGAAAATCTTAGTTCAAGTAAGCAAACGTTTTGTCAACATGAGCATCACCCAACTAAATATACTGGTATAACTAATTTTGGCAGTATGTTGCATGATAAGTTTTTCTGTTTGCTTACAAGAGCACTATGTGTTGTCATATGTGTGGAAGATATCACAAACTGATGCAAACCTCTGAATCTGACATCCAGGTTGACAAAATCGATGCCTGTCATAAGCTCGCTAATTAATTTTACCTTGGTCAGGGACATCAGTAGGCCTCATGATACGACGGATTTGCTCCATTGACTGTAAATCTGGGGATAAACCTACACAAATAGAAAAATATGAAGGATAGAAGCTTTGTCTCTCAAAATAAGCAGTTTACCCATAGCAGCACTGTCATCTTGACGTGTGAAATTGTCTGGCATTAGATGGAATAATCACATTGGAGCACAATGCAAACCTAATGGGTTAAAGCTAATTGTAATGCCCAAATAAGACAAACAAATCTAGCCTTTCAGACTTTGGCCAGCAGCCCAGCACACTGCGAATGTTTCCAGTGGATTGACTTGAAATATTGACACCCACTTTATGCAAAAAATGTTTGAAGTTAACTTTTGAGCTTGTCATAAAGTTCAATTACAGTTCACTTGTTTGATCAGAGTCTTTGGTTTTAGTTTCAAATTTCACTTCACATATGAAGGATAAATTGCACTCACAGTTAAATTTTGAAATGATAAAAAAGTAAGAAACATAGTAACAAGTTTAACAATTAACATATTTAGTTAATGGTGCCTGTTTAATGCACAATTATGCATTGTTAAGACAGCTAGGATATTCATGTTTCTGAACAGTTTTTTCTGAACATGTATAAGTATGAAAATAAATACTGAGAAAGAAGTTTATTGGTCAAATTTTTAATTTCTCAAGATGTTATTTTTCAGACATCGTTTTGTATTATATACAAAATGTCTTTGCCATAAACACACTGCGTGTCCGTTACCGGCCGCTTATTTTCAAACCTGGCTAATTTATTCTTGAGTGGAAGCAGGAAGGTTGTCAACACATCGTTTATGAAGTTTGGAGAGAAAAATTAACAACATACAAAGCGGACACACATACCAGACAGACTGTCCAAAGAAAGATGTGGATTGAGATACAACTAGCTCAAAACTAGAAGCAGCAAGGGCCTTTGCCTGGAACATTCATGTTCTTCTTATATTTTTCTGGGAGTTGGATCCATATCAATCCACAACTCTCTTGTTATCATCGCTATATCTACACTGGACTCTTTATTCATATGATATTAACTGGAGCCAAAATAAAAATAATATTCACTATTGGCAGTGAAAAATTTTGTTTTTCAGTAAATGAGCTCCAATTAATGATTTTCAACAAAGATATTTTAATCAAACATGCAGCTGGTTTGCATGGTAATTTTTCCCATTGTCTACAATTTATCCTAGAAGTTGATTTTGTTGCATTTTTTTGATAAGTACACCTAGCTAAATATGAACGAAGCTTTCGAACTCAACTGGATAACAGGTTTCATGTGAAACAAACCAAGACTCATGCAAATTACTACAGGAATAATATTTTATCATCAAGATTTTGTTAGCATCTCACTAGAGTTATCACCCTTCAACAAGACTTACATATCTTGTCTGAAATTTATGCCACAGGACTTAACCAAATGTAATTGATTTCCACACAAGATATCTGGGCTGTTTCAATGAAACTATTCTCAAGTGCAGACATTATTAAAACTGGGCACAGCCACAATTGTTCATTCACGACATTGCTAGGCCGTGTAGAATCAATTAAAAGTAATTCCTTTATAAAACACAACTTGACAAGGAGATTTCTTACAAAATGTTAAAATAACATTCATTCATATTTTTAACACTCTTTCTAGCACATTATATTTGTGCTCGAGTGTTAAAAATATGAATGAGATCGAGATCCGCGTTTATTAAAGTTCTAATTTCACTCAAATATTCGATACCGACAAGTTGCGAGTATTATTGAATTTTTTCAATCAATTTTCAATTGTCAATTGCAACATACCTCCGTGGCAACAAAATATTTTCTCATCAATAATAGCAGCAATCGGCAAACAGTTGAAACAATCAGTGAAGGTTTTCCATAATTTTATATTATAGCGTCTTTTACCTAGAAATATTTCAAATACTTGATGACAAAGGACAAAAATGAGGACAAATCAGAAATAACAACACAAATTATTACATTCATCGTAAAATCCATATATTCGATTGATGCTTGCACATTCATGATTCCCCCTTAGTAGAAAGAAATTTTCCGGGAATTTTATTTTATACGCGAGTAATAAACATATTGTTTCCAATGACTGCTTCCCTCTGTCGACATAATCACCAAGGAATAAGTAGTTTGCTTCGGGCGCGAATCCACCGTACTCGAACAATCTGAGTAAATCATAATATTGTCCATGAATATCACCTGCAAGAAATGTAGGAATATAACAAACAATAAAATCATTGAACAACGAGACAAAAAATACAACCAAAGTGACATACCGCATATTTTCAAAGGCGCTTCAAGCTCTAACAGAATCGGTTGACTAAGAAATATTTCTCTCGATTTCAAACAAAGTCCACGTATTTCAGCTTCAGTTAGTTGAACATTTTTTCCCGGTCGAGATCCGCGTACTATATAAAATACAAGAATAATGAAGTAAATAGGTCAACAAAGTTCTAATTTCACTCAAATATTCGATACCTTCCAAAAGTCGATTTATAACACTGTCAATGTTCAGTTTATCACTTTCAGCCATACGAAAATACAGAAAGATCCTATTGTTCTTCAATTATTTGCAACGCTGGTACGGTAAAATAGACAACTTTTGAAGGATTGTTAAGGATTGAAATCTTCCTGACAAAACTTCTGTTTGACAAGATATTTTTACTGTTGTGGACTTGTGGCTTTTGTGTTGGAAACATTGAACTATATAGGTAGACTGGAATGATGACTGATGAGTGGGTGGGCTGGGGGAGAGTAAAATATTTAACTTTTGGAGTTTTGGTAAAATTTCATAAGTTTTGGAAACATTTTAGCTATGAGACTCTCTCCTCCGCAGAGGCTTTAGTTTTCTTAGGATTTAATATTACGATGAGATACATTTCACTACACTTTACATGGCGGATCTTGGAACACGAGTGTAGTTTTAAAGCCTCTGCGGAGGAGAGAGGCAATGAGAAATTTTCTTAACATATCGAACATTCTTCACTGATTTCACTAATTAACATCTCTCAAGAGTAGAATCGCATTGCAAGTTGCAAGAAAATTGCACCGTGTAACATGGCCTTTACTTTCTTACTTTTTATTCTGTGATCGAGGCCTCGTATCCCAGGATACGGGCAGTGGCGTGCTGGGTACTATTTTACTGGGGGGGCCAGTCGGCTGGCAACTAATATGCGCCCCTATAATATTACCCTTGATAAACGAGGGCCGAAGGCACGAGCCGAGCGCCGCAGGTGCGAGGTTGTTCTAGGGGGGTCCGGGGGCATGCCCCCCAGGAAAATTTTTGAATCTAGAGTCTCTGAAATGCCATTTCCTGGACCTTGGGGGAAGATTTGACAGAAATCTGATGGTCAGGAAACGGCATTACAACGTATCGAAATTTGAAAATTGGTTAGAATTTAGTAGCAGCACTATTAAATTGGGCAATGCTAACTACTTCCAGCAATTAATCTAATCCCAATTTTATTCTCTACTGATCTGAATACATTTTCAACTTACAGCTCTTTTATACAATAACACACGGACCCCACGCATATGCATTTTAAGGTTTCCTTGCCTGGCTGCCAAAAGGGCGTGTTTCATCATTATCTGATTACTTACATTACTCATGTTTCTTGCGCAAACAACTAAATTGCATGCACAACTTTACATTGTCATAACTTCAACTATCTAATTTGCGCCGCTCTCGTGATTCGTGAAGCATAATAAAGGGCATAATATAAGGGTATAATACCAGTAAAAAAGGGCATAATTCCCGTGATCGCTTCGAAGCCTGATCAATATTCCGGTAAGATCACACTGCGTGTGATCACTGATCATGTTTCTATATGAACGAGTGATTTCGTGTGAGTCGTTAGGAAGCAAATACGGTTAGACAAAATAGTCTGCAATTTAATATACTCACTTTGTCGCCTATGCGCTTAGTCTGTTTATAAGTCAATAAACACATCTTTCCTTGGCCGAATTAGCAACTATATTTTTTCGAATGCATTTCTTCCCACCTACTTTCAAAATTCGGCGAGGGATCGACGCCCCCTTTTCATTTTTGCGCCCCCCAAAAATTGCCAGCTGGGGGGGCCGTGGCCCCCCGGCCCCCCCTGCCAGCACGCCACTGGATACGGGAAAACACGCGGGAAAACAAGCGAAAGCTGTTCGACAAGCAAGAGGTCTTCAGACGCCATTGTGTCGACTTTATTACTTTAATGGCTCGTTTCTTGTTGTTTATTTTGTGTGTGGTAAGATTTTGTGCTCACAACAAAAGCTATAATCAATTATAGTAAAAAACGACAGGTTTTGCCCCGCTTTTTTTGTGTGGAAAGTGTATAAAACTGAATATGACAACGTAGCGGTGGTGTTTATTCAGAAGCGAAAAAAACAGTACTTTACTGAGATTTTAACGTCAATACATCCGTAAAAAATCAAGACAACTGTGGAATGTAAGTTTATTTTATAATTTGATATGAATATGAAAGAAAACAGGAGTTCAAAAATCACAAGAAAACGTCAAATGTTATTGATTCGCATGGAAAAAATATGAACGGTGTCTGGGCTCGAAGACATTCTGCAAGCAGCTTACAAGTTTAAAAAGTAAAAGATACAATACCTGAGTGAGTTGTACTCTTATTTCTTCAACAATAGTTTGAATTTTTGTACGATTTTGGTGTTGTATACGTTTTGTGGCCTTGTTGGTTGTTTGTTTGGGCCATACAAACTACCAGTATAACAAAACAAAAGTTTCCTTTTCCAATTTACCCCAGCATCTTTTACGTTAAAATATTACACTATATATGTTCTCAGAGCTATTATTTCGAGTTTAAGCTCAATTTTATAGATAGATTTAGATAATATTTACGAAAAAAGCCGTAATATTTTCGAAAAATAGCTGCCATAGCCGACAGCAAAAAAATCATTTTGTCAATTTTCCCGCGTTTCCCTCCGTCACCTAGGATACGAGGCCTCATCACGATTTATTTATAACGAAAAATTTGTCTCCACAAAATGGCGGATTTATTATCCATCAACAATTTTGCTGACCTCAGAATGACATTTCGTCAAAACGTTTTTCTTCAAGATTGGTTTAGAAGCAAATTTGGAGTAGGGTAGGTTAGGGTAAGGATTAGGGTTATGGTTAGAGTTGGTGTTTGGGGTAGGGTTACACACTTAAAAAACGCACAAGTTGCAACAAATCTGCCAACAAGCTGTCACAAGTCTGTTCACAAGTTGTGTTCGCACTGCTTGTTCCCAGTTTATTGTAACAAGTTTGAAACAAGCTGTTAACAACTTGTAACAAGCTTGATGGCATTATCAGCCTTGTTACAAGACTGTGCTATTTAAACAAGTTTGTTACAGCCATGATATAACAAGGACTTCCCAAAAGTCTCCAAATCGCTACTCATAAAACTTAATATTCATATTTTGATAATATTTTGGGTGAAGATAGCATGAAATCCAAAAAACCTACATACTCCAAGTACAATGCAAAATGGACTATTGAAGTATAGTAATATGTTAGCTGTTTCCATCGTTGCCATCATGGTATAGTGGTAAAGACTGAGGCCATCATGAGCAAAAGTTGTGGTTGTTTCCAGGTAAAACTCTCGTAACGTTTCGTATAATTTTTTCTTTATTTCTTTTTACCATTATTTTTCCAAAGAAGTCTCTAAATCGCACCTCCTGACAGCTGAATATTCATTTTTAGATATTTTTTTGTATATTTTGACAATTTTGAGTCGATTTAACCAAGGATGACGAGAGATGAACAAGGATGAACAACTCTGAAGAGAATTCTTGTCCAGGGTGAAATGCAAAAAATCTACATACATCAAGTAGAACTGAAAACAGAGAATATTGAACTATTGCAATATGTTAGCTGTTTCCATCGTTGCCATCATGGTATAGTGGTAAAGACTGGGGCCATCATGAGCGAAAGTTGTGGACCGTTCCCAGGTAAAACTCTCGAAACTTTTCGTATAATTTTTTCTTTATTCTTTTTGCCATTATTTTTCCAAAAATGTCTCTAAATCGCTCCTCCAAACAGCTGAAAACTCATATTTTGAGAATTTTTTGTATATTAGGACAATTCTGAGTCGATTTAACCAAGGATGACGAGAGATGAACAAGGATGAAGAGCTCTGAAGAGAATTCTTCTGTCGGGTGAAATCGAAAAAATCTACATACGGCTAGTATAACGCAAAACAGCGAGTATTCAAGTACTGCAATTTTTTAACTGTTTACACCGTTGCCTTCATGGTATAGTGGTAAAGACTGAGGCCATCATGAGCGAAAGTTTTGGACCGTTCCCAGGTAAAACTTTCGTATAATTTTTTCTTTATTCTTCCTGCCATTATTTTTCTAAGAAAGTCTCTAAATCGCTCCTCCAAACAGCTGAAAACTCATATTTTGAGAATTTTTTGTATATTAGGACAATTCTGAGTCGATTTAACCAAGGATGACGAGAGATGAACAAGGATGAAGAGCTCTAAAGAGAATTCTTCTGTAGGGTGAAATGCAAAAAATCTACATACGGCTAGTATAACGCAAAACAGCGAGTATTCAAGTACTGCAATTTTTTAGCTGTGTACACCGATGCCTTCATGGTATAGTGGTAAAGACTGAGGCCATCATGAGCGAAAGTTGTGGACCGTTCCCAGGTAAAACTCTCGAAACTTTTCGTATAATTTTTTCTTTATTCTTTTTGCCATTATTTTTCCAAAAATGTCTCTAAATCGCTCCTCCAAACAGCTGAAAACTCATATTTTGAGAATTTTTTGTATATTAGGACAATTTTGAGTGGATTTAACCAAGGATGACGAGGGATGAACAAGGATGAAGAGCTCTGAAGAGAGTTCTTTTGTAGGATGAAATCGAAAAAATCTACATTCGGCTAGTATAACGCAAAACAGCGAGTATTGAAGTACTGCAATTTTTTAGGTGTTTACATCGCTGCCTTCATGGTTATATGGTAAAAACTGAGGCCATCATGA